TCAGTCTAGATGGATGGGGTATAAATTTAATAAATAAATAAATAAATAAAATTTGTAGAAGTTAATTAGTGGAAAGTAATTGGCAAAAGGTATCATTCTCCCTTCAACGAGAAAGCATTACAGCCCACCGATTTTTCCAACGTCAATGGCATTTTTATCCACATATTTCTGTTTATTACCAGCATTATGTTGAACTTAACTTCAGAAATTATAACATAACATATCAAACAACTCATTTTGATTAAGATAACATGAGTGGGTTGAAGGCTTTTTCTGGAGCTTGCGGAAAGATGTGTAGGCTGCCTTCTATACAACTAATGCATCGACTAAGAAATATATGGTGCATAATCTTACTGACTCAACCTAATTAAGTTTTCAATGGTCTACACCGAATGGGTATATTTGTCTGCACCATTATAATTTCTGAAACATACCCCCTCCTCCTCTTCCCTCAACTGGACCTCTGATGTCTCAAAGAGAGGATAAAAGGTGGCAAATATTAACTAACTAAATTGTCTATCAAAAAGCATGCATCCATATTTTACAAACTTTGCATTATTCAGAGGCTTCAAGTAACCAAGAAAAGAATGCTACCATAGACTTTTCTGAGATTGTCATCTTTATAAAACTTAATTAATTTCGAGGATCATTGTGCGAAACTGTGCAAAGTATAAGTCTATTTCTCCATATTCCCAAAACTGGAGTTTAAAGTGTTGTCATCTGTACACTACTAGCAAACATACCAGGAACAAGTGCCTAAGCAATCTGGTGTTTCCAGAGGATGAAAGCATATAGTTTTGGCCTTGGAAGATACAACTGTTGCATTCTAGTGCCTTTCCTGCTTAATTCCTGCCTCTTTCAAGATCTCATTTGGCCAGCCTGATGTGCAGCCCAAATGCAGACAGCACCTGCTGTCTGTTGTGGATTGATAAAGAACTAGCAATTGGCCCAGTGGAGGAGAGACCCATGACATAGCAGGTATCATGGATGGTGAAACATCCCCTTTCTGCCTTGTTGTCTAGTATTTCCTGATGGCACCTCTACCATTATATATACTGGTAGGGAGTCCATTCTTCCTATTACTTTCAACAGCCTCTCCCTTCCCTTCCCTTCCCTTCCCTTCCCTTCCTATTTCCTTTTTGAAACTATATGATGGTGTGCTAATGAGAAATAAATTAATCTTAGTATGCACATGTTTAAACTGTTACTATTGAGATATTTAGTCTTTGGGTGAGAAATAGAAATGCTGTGGCAGTAGGGAACAAAATGAAGAAAAGGGGCTTAAATATATGGAGGGAAGGAGGAAGGACAACAGCAAATCTCAGAGCAAAGACATTTGAAATTGCCTAGAACAGGGGTCTCCAAACTTTTCACACGGAGGGCCACATAATATATTTTCAATATTTTCAAGGGCTGGAGGAATGTGCCCGTATGTGCACACACACTCCCACCCACCCATGCACATGCATCCACTCCTGCATGCACAGGCTAGATAAAAAGGCCAGGTGGGCTGGATGTGGCCTGCAGGCCGTACTTTGGAAACGTTTAGCCTAGCATGATACCAAAGGAAAACAGAATTCAGAAAAGGTGCCTGCAATGAACCAGAATGCATTTTCCACATTTGAAGCAGATGATGGAAGAGGTCAAGGATTGTATGTATCCATCCTTCAATTTTAATTTCTCAGATGAGACGGAAATAGCCCCAAATTCCTCCAAGTTTCTACATCACTCCTTTACATTCATTTGAACTTAGGACTGAATCTGAGCACTTCAGGACAATAGGACGTAACACTGTGCTCTGGAATAAGGAATGTTCTTTGAGAGAATGCAGGAGTCTTAGAAAGCTGGCCAAACAAATTTTCTGGCCCTCACCCCAGGGAGAAATAAAGTGGTTTTTGTTGTTTGAGGCAATAGTAGAAAACAATAACATACTTTTTATGTGAATTCATATTCAAAGCAATATTCTTTAAATGATTAAATGACCATAAATGCACATTATCCACTCAGAACCTTCTGTATCATTATAATAGCAGTTAATGTCTGAGGTGCCATAAACCAGGACATTAAATGCCAATTATTCCCTATATCCCTTAATGTAAATACCTGGAACTGTTTTGTTAATAATAATATCAAAGAAAACATGGGCAAAGTTAAAGGAAAATAAAAACCCATATTTAACTGTGACTGTAAACTGGACTCAATTTACAACCAATCCAGATGAGATAATGAAAGGTGGTTAGTAATTATGTTTTTCTCAGATACTTATGAAATTGTATTTTTAAGAATATTGTAAATCCATTAGTCCAACAAAGGACTGAAAGATTGTCATTAACATCATTAGCTGTTCAGTATAGACAATATATTTTTAATAGCACATCCCATTTAAAGAAAAAAAATATTTCTCTCACATAGGCAGACACCCACTCAGGCAGTCACAATCTCATTACATGTAAGTACCTTTAGCAATCCCTCTACGCATTTACTTGAGAGCAAGGCTCCTTGAACCTAGCAGGGCTGATTTCTGGGTAGATGTGCAAAAGACTGTGCTGTTTATCCGCATTTAACATTCACTACAATCCATGATACAGTATCACTGTTTGCTTTAAAGGCCACGGTAGATATGTCTCTGAAAAAACAGACTAGAAAGTCAGTATTCTTTACAGTCTTCTAACCTTGGGACGTGGTGGTGCTGCGGGTTAAACTGCAGAAGCCTCTGTGCTGCAAGGTCAGAAAACCAAGCAGTTGTAAGATCGAATCCATACAACGGAGTGAGCTCCCATTGCTTGTCCAAGCTCCTGCTGATCTAGCAGTTCGAAAGCATGTAAATGTGAATAGATAAATAGGTACCGCCTCGGTGGGAAGGTAACAGCGTTCCGTGTCTACTTGTGCTGGCCACATGACCACGGAAACTGTCTTCGGACAAAAACGCTGGCTCTATGGGTTAGAAATGGAGATGAGCACTGCCCCCTAGACTCGGACATGACTGGACTAAATGTCAAGGGCAACCTTTACCTTTGCCTAACCTTGTGACATTTTATTTAGGAGCCTTTCTCTCTTCTTGCCCTCTCATTTCTCACTTTCTTGGATGTCAGGGTGCCCTTTATAAAACACTGAGATCTTTGGTACAGTGGTGCCCCGCATAGCGAGGTTAATCCATTCTGGATTAACCCTCGCTATGTGAAATCGTCGCTAAACGGAATGTAAAAGCCCATTGGAACGCATTAAACATCGTTTAATGCGTTCCAATTGGCCCTAAACTTACCGATCAGCGAAGTTTCCTCCATAGCGGCAGCCATTTTCGCGCCCGGTAAGCGAGGGGAGGGCGCAAAAACGCTGCATGCGGGCATTTCGGGCGTCAGGCTGCCATTTTAGAACCGCCAAACAGCTGATTGCCCGACTCTGTGGGAGGTTTGGGGGGTCGGCAGCAAGAGGAGGAGAAGAGGGAAAGTGGGGGGGAGGACGCGCGAACGCGCGGCTTCCCTCCCTTTGCCTGCCTGCCTTGCAGCCTGCTTTCGTCCCTGGGGGCGGCAGGAGAAGGACGAGGAGGAAGAACGCGCAGCTTCCCTCCCTTCGCCTGCCTGCCTTGCAGCCTGCTTTCGTCCCTGGGGGCGGCAGGAGAAGGACGAGGAGGAAGAGGGAAAGTGGGGGGGGAGGACGCGCGAACGCGCAGCTTCCCTCCCTTCGCCTGCCTGCCTTGCAGCCTGCTTTCGTCCCTGGGGGCGGCAGGAGAAGGACGAGGAGGAAGAGGATGCGCGAACGCGCGGCTTCTCTCCCTTCGCCTGCCTGCCTTGCAGCCTGCTTTCGTCCCTGGGGGCGGCAGGAGAAGGACGAGGAGGAAGAGGGAAAGTGGGGGGGGGAGGACGCGCGAACGCGCAGCTTCCCTCCCTTCGCCTGCCTGCCTTGCAGCCTGCTTTCGTCCCTGGGGGCGGCAGGAGAAGGACGAGGAGGAAGAGGACGCGCGAACGTGCGGCTTCCCTCCCTTCACCTGCCTGCCTTGCAGCCTGCCTTCCTCTTCCCGGCCAGCGCGGCCCCGCATCACTCTCGCGGTGGCTGCGGTTCCTTCCTGGCACCCTTCGGTAAGCAAGTTTTCTCCATATGGACGGACACTATGCCTCCGCATTAGCGATCCCGGAGAAGGGATCGCTATGCGAATTCGTCGTTATACGGTGCGCTCGGTATGCGAGGCACCACTGTATTACATTAATTTAATCAAGGCTATAGGTTAACTATTGTAACTTGAGTTTATTTTTTAAAAAGAGAATATCTCATATTTGTAATATTTTAATATAGGATTTGCCAGTAGGTTAGTCTTTTTTAAAAACAGAGAACTTGCCAGTACCATTTTTCATTGTCTTTAGTTTTTCCGAATTGCACAGCTATTTTCTACTTCTGTGAATTAAGTCATCAAGATTGAGGAATACTGGATGACTGTCTATACTGTTCCATTCTGAAATCTTCCATTCCTCTGCCTCCATACTGGCTAGGAAAGTTTACTCAGGCACACTCTTGAAAAATGTCAGAAAGTATATGCAAAAGAAACAAAATATAGCTCACTGCTACATTTTAAATAAGGCACGTAGGCAAGCAGTGGGTAGGGAATGAAGAAAGGAAAACAGGAGAATGAATCAGCCGTCCTTTATTCCCCATGTCTAGGTGAAATCAATCACAGCTGATTCCTTCATCTTGAGACTCTAGGCATGCAGAAGAGGTCTTCAGGCCTTCAAATCATCAACTGGGATGGCATTTACATCCATTTGGAAACAAATCTGTGGTTGCTATTCAGCATTCATCAGTGCTTACACAGAAATGCCATGTTTCTTTATGACATTGCCGTTTGGCAATTATTTGCTACTTGCAATGTCTTGAGCCCATCTGCTTTCCTTAAATGAAGGATGAAAAAAGAAAAACAAAGGGAAATGGGAAAGAAAGAAGAAAGTGTGTGTGTGGGGGGGAGGTTGTGTCATCACCATATACTGCCTGTTAGCAGAAAGAATTCTTACCCTGATATAAGCATCCTGCTGATGTTTGGCAAAATACAGCATGTTGTCCAGGGCCAGCATTCCTGGAGGAGTCTGTGTAAAATCCATTGCTGGGTTCACATGATTCTGTGAAAAGGCAAGAAGCAATAATGTTAGAAATGTAGTGAGGTGAATAAGTGAAATAGTTGTTTAGCATATCAAGTTAAATACAAACATTTCAGCATTACTGAAGTTACTTGCATTTTGTACTGAAGTTATTGAAATTACTTGTATCTAGCTGCCAAAAACCTCTTGATAAGCCAAAGATATGAATCTGCTGCTTGAACCTGCCTGTGTCTTGAGACTTTTTGATGAAGCCCTTCTCCAGGTGACAGGAGTGAAGCAGGGAATGTTATCTTTCCTATGAGTCAAAGCACAGGCTGTGCTAAATGACTACAATGTGGCTATGATTGTGCTTTTCTTTGATAAGATGCATTCTCATTTTTCACTACTACAATTCTTAACTTCTTCCTTTTTTAAAAAATTATTTCTCAGAGTAGGGAATACAGAAAGGAAAATGAGTAGGGGAAATTTTGATAACTAAAAAAAATATTGGATGTCATATAGTTGCATACTATTACAAGCAAAAACAGAGAAACAAAAATTAAATGAAACTGTACAGTATTATAATTATAATGTTCAAAAATGTTTTCCCTTTTTTTGTTTTCAACTTCTGAGTTATATTATTACAGCTTATATTACTCTGATTATACCAATTTCCCCTTAGAATTTGACAGGCTGTAAATTTAATGCCCTTTGTCCATAGGTTTTTCCAGCTTATAGCTCAGTACCAAACTGGAGCAATAATTTATAAATTTGTCTCATAAAATATATATATATAATAAAAACCATTTTATTATTTTTGAGACATACATACATACAGAACAAACAAAAACCTACAAGACAATCAAGAACACATAAGACCAACAAAACATATAAGCGGAGAGGTATTTCCCATACCAACTTATCCATTATATAATTTCTGACTATAGCAGATCTTATGCCTTATTCCCATACCACATCATAGTATATCTGTGTGCATCTACATATGTTATATTTCATATCCCTATTTTATATATCAAGTGTCTAACATCTTAAATTTACAATAAATTTTATGAATTCTCTCACCTGCATTTCCATCTATCCAATTCTCATCATAAACATTTCTCATTTGCTCTTTAAGATTACTTATCCACCAATAAAATCCACACTGACCAGTTCATTCATCAAAAATCTCCATTCTTATAGACAAAAAGATACTATATGTCTAATCTTGTCAACATAGTCACTATTGTAATTCACACATATTTGATATCTCAATATACGTGCCTCGAAAACAAAAGCATGCAATATTATTATTCATCATCATTTCTAAAGTTCATAAATTACATGTGCTTGTCTAGCATTAAGTTTCATATCTGGCCAAATTTGCTTATAGTATATTACTCATGTTACTTTATATGTAAATATATATATCTCAAACCAATGATTTCTATTATTTATTCAGCAAGTAACTTTCTCCCTTTTCATTTTTGCTTATCAGCTCAAGTTTTATCAATCCAGAATTGGCCTCTTGCCTCTTTTTTTGGCAGTTTTGAAATGCCATCTATAATAGCTCTTTAAGACATTTTCTATCCAGTTTACTAATTTCATCCCAATGTAGTCAGTGGCTTGGTTTTGGAGCAACATAGATCTGTCCGATCTCTGATCATAAATTTCTGCCCTCAAATTTGCCCATTTCTCCCCTTTACCATTCTTTCCTGTCGGAACAGTCTCAAAATGCTTTCTCCCTTCTTTCCAACCTCCCCTTTCATCCTTTTTGAGCATCTTGTCCAACTTTTTGAGAAAAACAATCTCTCTCTCTCTCTCTCTCTCTCTCTGACGATAGTAGTTGTTCATTAAATTCTGTGGTTTGTTTAAGCTGTTTGTCTTCACTCTCTATCTTTTCATGCAGTCCAAGAAGTGTCATCTTAAATTCTGTCCTCACTTCTAAAAACTGAGCCTTGATTTGATTATGTCCAACTAGAATTCTTGAAGAAATCTCTTAAAATAAATCTCCATTGTGGGTTCTAGTAATGAGTCTCCCCCTCCATCCATGGCCGTAACAGTCAGTAGGTTAATTATTCAGATTTCCCTCATGATTTATTAGATAGTCTACACTTAAAGTCTTGTGAAGGAGACTCTAATCGTAACTCTAGCCATGCCAAGGATGTTATTGATTTATAATCCACCTTGTAGCTTGATGAAGAGTCACATAGATTAAATTGTGCGGAGTTATTTAAAGTTCTTAAGTCCTGAATTTATGAAAAGCCAGTTCTTTGGGAGGAAGAGTTAAGAGAGAGAGGAAAGACAAAGTTGGTTTCGTTTTCTGAGTTCTGTCAGTTGTGACGCAGTAAGAAAAACTCCAACGTTACAGGCATTATGCCGCTTGAGATCTTCCTCTTTATCAGCTTCCAAAAGAACACATCTGTAGCTTAACAGCAGGTCATTAATCTCTGTTCCTGCAGTCAGATAATAAATCTTCATACCTTCCCCCTCTCTGGGCAGTTAACTCACTATCATGGCGACTTTATGAGACAGTTGCATGTGGGAAGGGAAACTCTTCCAAAAGACAGGCCGCCGTCTGAAATTTGGCATTTCCAAAGCTCCACTTGCTGCAAGTCCACTCTCCTGTGGAAAACTTGCCCCCCTTCTCCTGGGGGGTCAGCTGACTCAGAGTAAACCCAGGGGAATCCAGAGCCCTGGAATTTCCCCTGTTCTTGCTGCCCTTTGCTCCACCCCCTAAAGTTACGTATATTTTTATAGACTGTTTTTTAAAATCCAAAGATAATTATGTGAATTATTTTCAAAATCTGAAGATTGTGGAGGAGCCCCAGACCTGTCTGATGCTGTGTGTGCACCAGCCCTCCCGCTTCTGAGACTGTCTACAATATCTTACCCTCTGTGGGAGCTATGCACCGAATGGACTAGAAAAGAATGGAGAGGGGAGGAGAGCTATCAGGTGGGAAACAGAGAATGACAGAGGATCAACTGTAGAGGCATATCTGGTGGCAGAAACAGAGGAGAAAAACATAATGATAGATAAAAGGGATAGATGATTGGGTGGCAGAGGCAGAAGAGGAGAAGAGAAGATAGAGATAGGAGAAGGAGTCCAGGAACAGAAGAGAGATCTTGGCGAGGAAGAACTGCTGATGGGATGGGGTGGCTTGATTTGGAAGATTTGTAGACCCATCAGATGATTTGTATGAAACTGACAATAGAGGAGATCAAAAGGAAGCAGAAACATAGGCCACCTCCTACACCTTCCTATTGGGGAGAATGGGAAAAGAAAGAGCAGAGAAAGGAGAAGAGAGGAGGGCTTACAGAACAGGAAGGGTTCAGAATGGACAGTCCTAGTGTACCCTAAGAAGGGTGGTCTCTTAAGGAAGAGAGGACTCCTCAAGAGAGGTCCGAGTGAAGAGTGCCCACAAGAATGAGAGTGGGCGAAATGCTCTGTGCACTGGTGACACAATGCCCTCCACAAACCCACCAACAAGAAGAGGTTTGGTCGTTGAACCTGGTATTAAGAATCCCGGACCCCACATCTTCCTCAGAAGCATGGTTGAATTTTAAAAGAATTTTAAAAGCCATCAACAACAATTTTTCCCTCATTAGCATAACTCTTCAATTTAAACTCTTCTCCATCTGCTCTAGAATTTTATAGTTCTTTGTGACCCTGGAAGCAAAGGTTTCCATCACAAGAATAAAAAGAAAAGGGGACAGTGGACCACCGTTCCCTTTTCTTTATTAAATCCATTTGTTAGAAACCCAAGTCTTAACTTCTCAACTGCAATCTAGAGAAAGTTTGCCATGCCATTCCCCACAGCTGCATGCTTGAGGATAAACTTCCCATTGGGCACAGTGGACCAAAGATGCCATTCCTCCACACACTGCTACCTCTTTAAGATGAGTCATCAACAACAATTTGACCAACAGACACCCATAAATACACCAGCAGATGACAATACTCTTTAGCACACAGAAAGGGAAACCGAAAAGAAAAATCCATAGTGATGTACAGAAAATTCCAGGACACAACTGTTGCCAGGGCTATTTCCTGGGTGGATAATCTTACTGGAACTTTTAGCATGTACCCACAACAAATAAAGAAGAAAACTAAATAGCTGTTTTTGCTATTTGTTCTTTAAAATATTCAGCAGGAGGTTTTTAACATCGCTGTGATTTCTGCCCCTTTCAACCCACACTGAATTTTGGGCACTGGCTTTAAGAGCAAACATCTCACTTGTGAGGGACAGAGGGAACTGTCCAGAGAAGGTTCCAGTCTAGGTCTGGCTGGCAAACTCAAGTCTGTCTGGTTTGGCTTCTATCCTCAACAACATTCAGAGCTATCCCTGGTGCTAACTATTTCACTTGTTTTGCTGCATAAAAACTCAAACTTTGCTCTTCCTGACATTTTGCAGTATGTGATCTTGCTTCTGAGCTTTAAAAAAGTAAGAAAAAATCCCTGAACAAATAAATCAATTCAATTTATTGCTTTAGCACAAAAGGCCTCATAATAAAACAACATAACATAATATAACATAACCAAAATTTGAGTTGAATTTCTGTTCAGATTTAAAATACAGTATACATATTTAAACATAACCATTAATATAAGTTAGTGGACTTAACAATGTTCCTTGCATAATTTTGTAAACTGCTCAGGAAGTGCTCTAGCACTATGGGGTGGTATATAAGTTGAAACAACAACAATAATAAAATGGTAATTTATGGTCAAAGGACCCTGAGTAACAAAAAGTAAACATTCTCCTATATGCTAGGCAGTATTCCCAAACAAGAGAACAGCTTGATAACTTTTGTGAAATTGTAAGTACTAGTAATCCAAGTGTGTCTTGTGACAAGCTTAGTATAAACTTAAAGAGGTAATCAAGGCTTCCTAGTTTGTATGCAAAAATCTTACATCATTCCAGGCAACAGCTTTCAATGGCTGTTTAAAATAGCATATTTGCTGTTCCCAAAAGATGAGACCCAAGGGTACTGATCCATCTAAAACTCTTAGCTTTCTTGAGGCATGCTCCCATCAAGGG